AAAAATTTGTATTTAAAGAGACATTTAAGGAAGTGGTAATGTACAGTCAGACAGTCATTACAATAACCAAGAGGGTGATCAGGATCTGAATGCAAGTTAAATATGGGGGCAGGAAATATTGATTTGAGTTTAAAATAATTTGTTTTTCTTGTAGAGACCATGAAAAGAGAACAAAAGCACAGCTTTGTAGGAAATGCATGTTTCCTAGATGAGCTGTCAGTTATACAGTGTTTCCCTGGTCAACAGCTGTTATTCAGATATATTTAAATAGTTGCATTTCACGACTGACCAGTTGGAATCGAGTATTTCAGTGCACTGTGAAATTAACTTTGAGAACAGTCTGTAGGCCTACATACATAGACAAATAACTTGTAAACATGGTGGCCATTGGTGTGTTTTTCTGGTTTATATAAATTGACACTCTGTCAACTGTTGTCATGCTGATGTAAGTTAACAAGTCAAGACCAAAGTCGGCTGTGTGTCAGTGAAAGGTAAATGCTGTAATCCAGAACAGAGCAGGTGAATTACTCTGTGTCCGTGAGAATGCTGGCTAATAAATAAAGAGAACGGATGTTTGATCTGGAGTGAAGTCACTGCCACAAATACAAGAGTCTTTGTGTCTATAAGTATATTTGGTGTTTCTCTCACTGAACTTTATAAATGACATAATAATACTACAATGACAGTGTGAGCTAAATATTAAACTTTAGGTCAACGGTCTTCGCTCGCCAGGAATGAGGGGAATGTGTGTATGCTAGGAACAGCCGCACACTTGCATACACCGTTGTGCTTACATGCTTGCTCAATTTTCAGGAAGATATTTCACAAGTCTGAGCCTGTAGTGGTTAGTCGAATCCAACCTGTTACCATCAAGCTTACTTTACAGTTGCGCTCTGGTAAATATAGCTTTGTGCATGTCTCTCTATTTGGATATGGATTGGTTGTATTCATAGTTTATTATGTCATATTGTTTAATGAACATGTGAGCTTTAGGTTTTTGTTTTGGTATGCAGTAGGGCTGCAACAAACGATTATTTTGATAATCGATTAATCTAACGATTATTAGAACGATTAATCGACTAATCATCGATTATTTCGCAGACTAATCAGTAAGTTTGGAACGATTATTCAGCTTTTCCAATTATTTAAAACATTGAGTTATACATATTCTAACTATAATATAAAAAAAGAAAATCACTTCAGCTTTTGAAATAGTTGTTTTAATGAACTTTGAGCCAACTAAACAGGTCATTCTCTTTAAGTTTTCAGATTTCGGTCCAACTCAAATCACACACAAATGCTCTCTAAGCATTGTTTAATAGGCCCACTGCTTTTCTTAGAACTGAAACAGAAAAAGGGACATTTACTTCAGGACACAAAAAATGATAAATATTAATCTGCAAACAATTATTATAATTTTAAAATTACAATATTTTTTTACATGACAATTGAGCTGACAGAGACGTTCTCATTCACCTTTTAATTTATAGTATGAAAAAGTAACTGCCATGATATTCGTCCTATATCATAGGAAGGATAGGCCTATAACATCTCGTTTTGTAAGTCTTCATGATTATTGAACAAAATACAGGCAAGTGATAGCCTAAGACTATAATAATACCTAATATACTAATAGTGTTACAATAATAAAAACAGCCCTGACTCCTAAGCTCGATCAAGCTTTATTCTATACAAAATAAGTCATCACATTACTGTAATTATATTACTATTGATAATATTATTACTATTATTAGTAGTATTGCATTCTCTAATAAAGAGAGATTTACCGCTGGTTAGTAACGTTAAGCTCCAGCTGGAGAACACTCACTTCTCACCGGCTCCTCTTTTGCCGGGATGTTTCCTCTTGCACTCCAACATGCATGTTGTGCTCCCGTGAAAATTGCACACGACAGCATTCTTGATTTGAAGTTTTGTGAAACTTTCCCAAACCTAAACCTTGCTAGTTCGGATTCGTTTGCACTGTCATAATTCGCGCTGTATTTTCTTCTACCGCAATAGCATTTGTAAGGGCTGCACTACACTCTAGCGCTACAGCGCCGTAGCGGTCAAATCGCGGGATTGCAGGCCCTTACATTAGGTCACGTGAGATCAAACGACTACTCGACAACAAAGATATTTGTCGACAAATTTTTATTGTCGACGTTGTCGACAACGTCGACTAACCGTTGCAGCCCTAGTATGCAGGAACTCTGAGGTAGAAATCTCACATTACTTGTTTACACTCACACCCACAGAAGTGGGGAAAAAGCAGGGCTAAAAACTTTCCAATTTCACATCTCAAATAAATTGTTTTTTTATAACTTTAATGTAATTTAATGTTATGTTTTATTTATAAATCCTGAATAAATATTTCAAAAACATTCTGTTGTACATGTACTGTATGGATGGAGTGACATCACTGGCTCAGAAAATGTGGGAATGAAAAGTCCCAGTATCTGAAAATGAATCATCAAAATATAAATAAATTGTCCCAGTATCACTTCAGAGAGGTGTGTGTGTGTGTGTGTGTGCGCGTGTGTGTGCGTGCGCGTGCGACCAGTAACCCGCGACCCTCGCACATACTCTGGGGAACGGTCAACTCAGCAACTTCATCCGCACTGTTGCACTCCATGGTGGGAGGGGGACAAGAGTACAGAAAAGCGAAAGATGATGAAGAACGAGAGAGAAAGGGAGGAAGCCCTCTGCTATAGAGCAAGTACTTACAGTTCAGATCTGCTTTGTTTATTGTTGAAGTTTACAAGCACAGTCCTCCAACCGCCGGCCCAGCTCATTTACTCAGCTATTCTCTTTACGAGCCCACGAACTTTTGAGTGTTTAAGTGAGAGATGTTTATCTGAGATGTGAATCCTGAAGTGTTGAGTGAATCTGTCATGAAGTTAAAGTTCACTCTAAACTTATGACTGCTTCTCCGCATCAGTGACAGTATCCTTTACTTTGTCAGTGCTTACGTGTATGTGGTGTGTCAGGGATTCTCTGGACCTCTGTTCAGTGTTATTTCATTCCAGATTGCTCTTAAAGATCCCATGAAATTACTTGAAAAGTGCAGTTTTCTTTTTACTGTGCTGACATATTTTCCTGAAACAGACTGGACAAATTAACTGCTCTTCCTTTTTTAAGCTGTAAAACGTCACAGCTGTGAGCAGTGAGCTATGATTTGCTTCTTCCTAGTCAGTGACAGGTGTTATTGAGGGGAGGGGCATTCTTATTCTAAATATCATCTGATTGGACAGAAATCAGTGCAGTGCAGGATGAGTCATCAATATATCTCCCAGGAGAGATAAAGTGTTAAATGATCTCAATGATCTCATTGAAATCACTGATCTCAGTTGTCATGGTGCAACACCTTGAGGCGGTCTACACTAGATGCGACAAAGCGACCGTTGCAAATCTGTCTGTTCTTCGTATTAGAAGTAGTGCAACCGCTTTGAGTGCATCAAAAATAGAACGTGGCCTCAGTTTACTCTTACATCTAGCGTAGACAGTATCACTGATTGTAATGGGTTCTTATTGTCTTTTGTCACATCACATGTCATTTGCATCTGGGATAGACATGGTGTAAGTGACCACCTAGCAACCAGCCACAACACCCTACCAACATGGTGGCGAATTTTGCACAAGCAAGCACTGCTCAAATAAAGTGCTAACTACTTTTTTTATTTTTATTATTATTATCTACAAAATTGGTTCTCAACATTTTTGACTCCCTAGGACCCCACTGTCCACACAGGGATATTCAAAGGCCCCACAAATTTCCCAGTTGTTTGTGATTTACTAGTTAAGGATTAAAGATAAGGATTTAAAAAAATTACAATTTCTACCTGACCAAAATTTTAAAGCGTGGCATAACTTTAAAAGTGTGTATTTGTGTATATATATAAGTAATTTTGAGGCCCATTCGGTAGTTTGCTGAGGCCCACTAGCCCTCCTGGGGCCTGTACCATGATGGTAGTTGAACAAACTCAGGGTTGCAGGATTAGTTTCAAGTTGACAAAACCAAACCAATCCAACCAGACTTTGTTGGTAGTACCATGATGCTGAGCATCAACTTTCTCTGTCAACTCAGGCTTTGATCCTGAGTATAGGAGTTTAGGTGTGACATCAGTAGCGAACAGCCAATCACATGCTGAGAAAGAGTGAAATTCATTCAAAACTCATTTAAATTAGTTTCTCGCGAGAGAAGCAGCGCAATTCAATTATTAAATAAAAGTATTAAAATATTAAGAATTTAAACAAATTTACACAGCAAGAAGAAAATAGCTGTCTATGAAAGAGGACACCTAAAAGAAAAAGTCTCGCTACTGTATATCAGTCCAAGTAAAAGTTGTGAAGTTAGTTTATACAGTTGATAAAGTTATAGAGAATTGAACATTTTAAGCTCTTATGTAGTCATTTTATAGCTTCATCTATTGATTCTAAAGTCTATTTATATTACCTTTTATATATTTATTAATTTAAAATCTGCGTAATAATAATTGATGAACAAATTTTTTACATGTGTGATCGATTAAGCGTATAATAATTACATAAATAATTTCTAAATCATACAAATTTTTTATTCTAAATAAGCATTACTAAAAGCCAGATGATTTTGCCTTTAAAATCATTTGCTATGTAGTGACCTTTAATTTGGAGTAGAAACAGGTGGAGTGACTTTATCACTTCAGACATGTCACTTTGCTCACAGCTGATTGGTCCAAGTTCGCTTTGCAACCTCTTCCTTGGAACATAACCTGCCCCTGGACCAGGTTAGCCGTGGAGCGTAATTTCCTATGGCAATGAACACTGCTAAAAGCCAAACCACTTTCATGGTGCCTAAAACCCAGGGTTGGCGCAAACTAAACTGAAACATACCTGGCTAGCCTAAACCGGCTTCATACAGGCCCCTGGTTGAGGACCAAGAATAAACAAGAATAATTATTATTTGTTTGTATATTTGTAACACATCATCTCCTGCATATCTCTTTTTCACTGTCTTACAGGAATTTGAAATCCTGGACATCAGTCATATCAGGGACACCAGGACGGGGAGATATTCCAAGATACCAAAGGTACATTTTGAGTTGTGCCTGTGTTGGAAAAAGTCTGCGTGAACCTTTCCAAACATAACCTTCATATATCAGGAGTGTGTGTGGGTGGTAAACTTTGCCTGTGTTTGTAGGACCCACGTATACGTGAAATGTTGGGTTTGAGCAGAGAAGGGAACTCCGACTCAAAGCTGCTAACTGTTGTCTACGGCAACGACCTGGTCAACATCTCCTTCCTTAACTTCCAAGCTGTGATGGATGGCTATTGCAAGGTAACCACGGCGACCGGACCCTGTCACCTAGATACCATGTCCATGCTATCACTCCCTCTCGCTCTGTCCTGCTTTTTCACTTTCTACCTTTTTGCAAGTGTGCGCTCTGAATGAATTAACTCAGATGACTCTCATTTTATATTATTATCCTCTCTCTTCAAAACCTTTGGCACACATGACGTTTTTATTTATTCATAAGATTATCATATTTACATAAATGCTTGAGTTCATCTAAACATGTTTTGTGTTATGATTGGGTTTCCAGCTGTGGACTGACGAACTGTTTAAACTTGCCACAAACACACTCTCCCAGAATGCTTCCCGCAACACCTTCTTGTTCAAAGCGTGAGTACTCTTCTTGTGTGTGTGTGTGTTTGTGTGGTCCTGGTAAACCCTACGTTGTGGGGACACAATGTCCTCAAAAAAGATAGCAGTATCCGAAATCCTTGTTCCTGGGGGGGACATTTTTGCATCTCCGTGAGGAAACAAGCTTATAAATCATAGCAAGTTTTTTTGAAAAAGTAAAAATGCAGAAAGTTTTCTGTGATGGGTAGGATTAGTGTAAGGGGGTAAAATATACAGTTTGTACAGTATAAAAACCATTACATCTATGAAAAGTCCCTATAAAACATGAATGTGTTTTTTGAAACAATTGTGTGAGGCCAAGTGACCTTACAAAAAGTCTCAGTTGACTTCACTGAACTTAATATTTCACAGTTGCTCGTGATTAATTCTCTGAATTGATGTTATCGAAAATGTGACCTCACAATGCAACATTATTTCTCCTAATTGTGTCTGTTTCTCGTAATTGCGACTAAATCTTTAAATGTGACTTTAGATCTCCAAATGCAACTTTATTACTCATAATTGTGGCTATTTCTCACAATTGTGAGATCTTGCAAATACTACTTCCTTTCCTTTCTCTGCTACTTTATATCTTACTGTTGTGGCTTCATATCTCTAAACTGCAATCTTGTGTCTAAAAGTGTGACTCACGGTTTCAGCTTTATTTGTCAGAATTGTGACTTTTATTTCTCAAAATTGCAACTTGTGGCTTCTTTCTTTTCACATTTGCACTTTATTATATGATGCTTAAGTCACATTGTGACATAATATATCTCCTCTAATTCTCTCAACCCAAGCTCGACTGTACCCTACAAAAGTTCAAGCCAGTTTTTCACATAACTTTGGGTTTGCCTCAAGAGTTGGTTTTGTAATTGATGGTCACGTAAGGTTATATAAGGTTAGCTCACCCAAAAATGAAATTTTAAAGCTCCAGTCCCCAATCATGGAAGAATGAAGGTCATACAGGTTTGGAAAGGGTGTGTAAATGACAAAATGTAACATTTTGGGTGAACTATCTCTATAAAATTTGACAGTCCCAAATCCATTCAGCAGGACTTGGGTTCAGCTTCGTACCCTCCAAAATAAAATACCACAGCCCTTATTGTCATAGTCTTTGCCTCAGTTGGATGCAATGCTGGTGTCAGGTGTTTTATTTTTTTTTATTTTTTTTTAAGAATATGTAGTTGATGATAGGTTTATTGACAAACAGTACATTAAGCGCAAATAATCAGTGTCATCTGTTTCTCACGGTCTGCCTTTTTTTGTTGTTGTCATTTTTCATAGTTACACAAAGCTGAAGCTGCAGGTAAATCAGGATGGGAAAATCCCAGTGAAGAAGTGAGTAAACACAAGCTGTCTTACTCAAACACGGTTATGTTTCCAGTTCTTCAGGGCGTCCGTTGCTAATGTGCCACTTCTCCTTTCATCATTCCTTTCACTTCTTCTCTTTTTTTTTCTCTTTCACTTCTCTCAGCATCATGAAAATGTTCTCGGATAAGAAACGTGTGGAGAATGCGCTGGAGCACTGCGGTCTGGTCAATAGCAGAGTAATCAGTCGTGCACAGGTTGTTACACATCGAACCTTTCAGTTTTGTCTGCTGAGCTTTCATAAAAAGTGTTTGTGTCCATCTCTCTCTCATTCTCTTTTGTTGTTTCTATATATAAATGCACTGTTTTTAAATAACCCACATTCGTTTAGATTCAGAAGATCCCTTTAGTGTAATATCTTATAGCGTCTCCCTCTGTTGTCACATGTTCATTTGTTTTTCTTCTTCGTGGTGATCTGTGATCAATCCTTTTATGGTTCAGTTTGGACACAGAGGAGCTGGTCTTAGATCAGCACATGTCCACATTTCAGTCTGTCTTTTCACTGTCTTACACTGCCCTCTGCTGGTTACATTTCAGAATTAATTGACACTTAAAGGGATAGTTCGTCCAAAAATGAAAATGTTGTCATCAATTACTCACCCGCATGTTGTTCCAAACATGTAAGACTTTCGTTCATCTTCGGAACAAAAAATCTGACACGAACACGGGACACAATCACTTTATATGATGGACAGATTGAATTTAGGCTTATTCAATTTATTTAATATAGCCTAAATTCAATCTGTTCATCTTATAAATCAATCGTGTCTCTTCAGAAAATTTTGACTAAACCGCTCGATTCATATGGATTAGTTTCACGATCTCTTTATGAACTTTTTGAAGCGTCAAAGTGGTAATTCCATAGCTGCCAATAGAGGGACAGAAAGCTCTCAGATTTCATCAAACATCTTCTTTTGTGTTTTGAAGATAAACAGTCTTCTTTTCTAAAGTCAGAAGTCTTTTTTTCTAGTCATTTGTTCTAGTGAACAACCCCAACGACGTAGCACACCTCAATACATAGTGCAGATCAAATGTTTGCTTGCAACACAGAGCGATTGAAATGGATTAGATTACAGCTCTAGCCATATTGATCTGCGCTGCGCTGTCAGGTACTGTCCGCTGGTTAATGTGGATATGGGTCAGTGCTGTTGAACCCATTTTGCATCTCAGTTTGCAGATGCAAAATGGGTTCCATGGTTGGAGAAACTATGGAGACTTTGAAAATTCATTTATTTTATTTTATTTATTTGTTTATGCATTTATGTATGAATGCATTTATTTTCTCTCAGGGGGATCATGGTATAAAGTTAGAGGACTTTACCTGGGAAATGTTCCAGAACTTCCTCATCAAACTATGTCCCAGAGCAGAGGTGGAGCGTGTCTTTGTGGAGCTGTGAGTGAGCAGAGTCCAACGGCAATGACACAGATACAGTGGCCCCAAAAAAGTATTTGGACACTCGAACACATTTAAAAATGAATGAATGGCATTCCATTACATAATATATCAACCAATATCAAAGAAAGATTTCAACATTTCAAGAAAGAGTTTTTATATCATAAAATATAGAAATGCGATTCTAAATATTTGTATTAAAAAGTAACTAAACTAAATTAATATTTATTCATTATTAAGTCTGTCCAAATACTTTTTAGTGGCACTTTATGTCTTAACTATGTAAAGATCCTTTGAACAATGTGTAATTCTGTACTGTGTGTGTGTGTGTGTGTGTGTAGTGGCTCTAAAGGGAAGCCCTTCTTGTCTCTGGATCAGTTGATGGACTATATAAATCGGAGACAGAGAGATTCTCGACTAAATGAGGTTCTTTACCCACCGCTCAAACGAGATCAGGTCCGCCAAATCATGGAGAAATTTGAAACCAACGTCAGCCAGCTGGAAAGAGGTACAAAGCACACACTCACACACACACACACACACACATTTAGACATAGTGACGATGAAACTGATGGTAGTTTGTTTTACGTGTCCATGTGTGAGCAGACCAGATCTCCCTAATGGCCTTCGCAAAGTATCTTGGTGGGGACGAGAACTCTGTGGTTCCTTCTGAGAGGTTAGACATCATCGATGATATGAACCAACCCCTGTCCCACTATTTCATCAACTCTTCACACAACACATACCTCACAGGTATATACACACACACACTCTAAAACACAAATATGGTCATAAACGCACACTTACACCCATCTATCCTTTCTCGCTTTAGTGGGGCAGTTGACGGGCCTGTCGTCAGTAGAGATGTACCGGCAGGTGTTACTGACAGGGTGCCGCTGTATAGAGCTAGACTGCTGGAAGGGCCGCCCACCTGACGAAGAGCCAATCATCACGCACGGTTTCACAATGACAACTGAGATTCCATTCAAGGTGTGTTTGTGGTCCCATCTTCCACTTTACCATCTCAGTGTCCATCACTCTCATGATGCAGTCGTTTTCAGCGAATTTTCATGGCAGGAATCCAGTCATTTCGGTAGAAAGCCTTTTGGGATTGGGAATTCACATTGGGAGTTTACATGGCAGCCAGATACATTGTATGTGTCTTTCCTAAGGGCTGTGAATCTAGAAAGATATAAGCTTAAATTATACTAATATTAGTGCATCATCTGACTGCAGCATCAGTTTATAGCCATTTGTTTTTTTTTTGTGCTTTAACTGGATGGATGCGCAGTCAGTAGCCGCACAACACAAGCACATCGCCATCATTTTTTAACTTCTGAATAATAGTTTAATGAAATTTGCGAGCCTAACTCCATTCATGAGAGTGCCACATTTGATCAAAATGTTTGAATGCAATGCATTATGTTCTCTTCATCCCTTTGATCACAGTGCGTTTGGTCCAGAGTGTGTATTGCACATATTTAAACTGTTTATTGATTATAAATCGTAACGTGTGTGACAAGGTTTATATATATCAGGTCTGTCTCATCAGCGCAAATGTATTATGTGTTACATGTATAAATTGAATTATGAAGAACAATGGATTGGAGATGCTTCTTTGCGTTATAAGCCTAGTGCACACTATTTATCAGTGGCTTTCAAAAAAAGTGGTGAGGACAAATTCAACTTTGGCAAAAAGTAGTGGAGACATGTCCCACCCGCAAAATACACCTATGGTATGGACATACATCGGCACATTTAGCTAATGTGCTATCGCTAATTGCAAATGCAAGCTGACCATATATACTGCACACACACTGAACTGCAATGAGAGACCGTGTGTGTAATGTTTCAATCTTTGTGTTTTTAGGAGGTGATTGAAGCTATCGCTGAAAGTGCATTCAAGACGTCCCAATATCCTCTGATCCTGTCCTTTGAGAATCATGTGGACTCGTAAGTATAAGGCATGAGTGTGTGGATAATGGATACTGCTTGTCTTTTTTCCTATTTATGTTTTATCTTGATTATTATCTGGTCTTTTAGAGCAAAGCAGCAGGCTAAAATGGCAGAATACTGTCGCTCTATGTTCGGGGACGCGCTACTCATTGATCCACTAGACAAATATCCGGTGAGTTCTTCAACATAAAAAGAGCAGTTTTCAAATGTCAACTGTCAAATATGATATATTATTTTGTCTATTTTCTTAATAAACAAAAAATCCAAATCTAAAAAGATAGAGCAGGCACATCCCATCCATCCATCATTTTAAACTTCAAGATTTTAAAATCCTTTCAAAATTTCAGGCCAGGCCTTTTAAAGGGATACTCCACCCAAAAATGAAAATTCTTTCATCATTTACTCACCCTCAAGTTGTTGCAAACCTGTATGAGTTTCTTTCTTCTGCTGAACACAAAGGAAGATAATTGAAGAACGATGGGAACTAAACAGTTGTTTGGCACCATTGACTTCCACAGTAGAAAAAAAAAAAAAAAACTATGGAAGTCAATGGTGCCAAAGTTCCAATCGTTCTTCAAAATATCTTCCTTTGTGTTCAGCAGAAGAAAGAAACTCATACAGGTTTGCAACGACTTGAGGGTGAGTAAATGATGACAGAATTTTCATTTTTGGGTGGAGTATCCCTTTAAAGCCAACATTGCTATGCTAAACTTTACTTATCTAGTTAAGGATGATGTGCAGTCATTTGTTCATAATCACAGACTAAACCTTGACAGGGTGATCAGGACCCCAGTGCAAAAAGAAAGGGTATTGTATCATCCTGAAAGCACAGGTACTTAATGGATAAAAGAATAGGTGAATGTTAAATGTTGATTTGACCTTAAATCGTTGTATTATTGTTAGAAGAACGAGAGCATGGACAGCTGCACAGTATCCACCTTATTCCTACGCCCCATGACGCTTTGCGCGAATTATGGGTGTAACTTCCGTTAAGCTGTAAACAATCAGTGAAAGGCTCGCTCTATGAACGCAATACGTTAAAAAAGTGTCACAATGAGATGACATTAATCGACTCACCCTTCAACCATCGAACATTTAAAATGAAATTTAAAAGTTTAAAAGAATCAACAAGCCAAGGTACTTTCAACAGACCAAAAATAGCACTAAAAACGCGAGTCTTTGGTTAAATATCACTGTAGTAGGCAAATATATATCTGTATTGTAATAACAAGCCTTAATCAAAAATGTTCATTAACTTCAGCATTACGTGACACTATATCAAAGTGATTTCCGTCATTTTTGACAGATTATAAATTGCATTTACCTGTGAAAATAAACCTGGAAAGAGACGTGAGGATTTAAGGAGAATAACGAGAGATTCTTCGGGCATTCCAGTGAATTATTAATGGAATATCGTAAATTAAATTCGGGAGAACAGACCACAAATGTGGCGTATATGTTATCCTTTTTCATACTTTTACAGTGGATTGCAAAGGAAAAAATAAAAATCATCATGAGGAAAAGAAAGCAGCGACTGAAAAGAGCTCTTGCCATAGATATTCTTGTTATAACATGTCACGTTAAAATACCAAGTGTAACGTTATTCTCATGATGTCTGAAAATAAATCATGAAGGAAAATTGACAGCTCATCCAGTCAAACTGACGGATCAGCTTTATTTGTAGGGCAACCTTATGATTTGAAATGATTTGTTTTAGCCTTTTTAAATGAAAGTTCCCCAAACGGGAAGTGCCACCCATAATTCAAAACGCAGTAAGGTTGTCAGGAATAAGGTGGATAGGGAATCGCATGGCTGTGACAGTTGTTCATTATACAGTTTTGGTCATTACAAAAATATTTGACCACAGAATGCAGTGATTGACTGTGTAATAACCAAGAATAGTAAACAATCATATTTTTAGTTTGAGACTAGATATGTAGATTTTACAATCATGTTTGTTTTTACAGCTGGAACCTGGTCAACAACTGCCAAGCCCCCAGGAGCTGATGGGGAAGATCTTGATCAAGAACAAGAAGAAACACCACCACAGGGCATCTAACGGTGGGAGCATCAGACGCAAGGACGGGACAGACGAACAGTGCTCACCTTTGAATGGTGCGTAAATGCACACACACTCATACATATACACACACACACACACACACACCAAAACATAGCCTGATCTGCTCTAGATGGGGTTTTCCAGACACTGTTTTTCGCATTTGAAAAAGCTAGAGATGCATTTTTTATAAGTTGAACTTTGAACTTGTTGCGTTTTAAGAGTGCATGAGATGCAGCTAAAGACAGGAGACGGAAGCACAGTGGTCAAACGCATCTGCCCAGTGCAGTGGCGTAGCGTCTGGGTATGCATGTTTGTGCATATGGGCCCGCATCCATAAAGCTATGACGTCATTAGTTTCATTACTGTACGGCTTGATTGAAGCGCATGCGCACACATACAGAGATCATGCCGCGCACACACAGAAACATTCAGGAGCACAGAAAACTGTTGTCAACTTTTATTGCTAAAATGGCTTCACTACTGAAACGCTACATTATGTATAGTGTTATTAGTGTTATAGAGGTAATGTCGCTGTTTTTTTAAATAATTCAACACATTGCTTCACTATTAATAGACATACGCTGCTTAGACAAAGGTAATTCACAAACGCACAATCTCTCTAATTCATTCAAATAAATGTAATCTTACCAAACTACTTTATCACTATGTCTGATTTAAAGCGGGCAGAATGCTAGATCTAACGACCCGTTGACGTCACTTTTACCATTTCAGGCTTTGCGTCGGGTCGTTGCCTCCAAGTCATTGTATTGTCGGGTGGTTTGCCTCGACGTTGTACATTTAAAATCGTTTAATGCACACCTAGCCGTGGGTTATCCCTAATATGTTAGTTCGGTTCTGGTTGTGAAAAGTTCTTGGGTAGAGGTATACCACTCAAGGTTGCATTTTTATGCAACGCTTATTGGTTTATTACATTTATTTGGTAACTCAATAGACAATTTTTGACTATTACTAATACTACTCTTGTGTTGGATCTGGATGGCCTGTAACTTTACATAGATTATCTATTAGGCTACTCGGATGAAAAAGATAAGGTATAAATGTCCTTTGCGAAGCAACGCGTTTGGTCTGGTATTTTCCTGATATGCTCCATTTGCGCCTCTTCGTTGCATTTTTGTTTGGGGGCCGTTAAGATTTTTTTTGCAAATGGGCCCAGGACTGACTTGCTACGCCACTGGTCCCGTGCATGTTTTTACATAGGAAAAACATTGGAAAAGCACCATAGTGAAACAGATGTTTCCTGCATCAGCACATCGTTGTGTTGTCCTACTTGTTGTTCCTGCAAGCACTGTGCAACCTGTGATGTTCAATTTGTGAATGAAAGATGCAGATGAGCCAACTCTTTTAATAAATCAAACCCATGACTTATTTCTCATCTGATATTCTATTACAAATTATAACATATCTCTTTCATATCTGCTTGATTAGAGAGTTTGCTCATAAATGATCTGTCATCATTTACTCACCCTCTTGTCATTCCAAACTTGAATTGCTTTCTTTCTTAGCTCTAAATGATGACAAACATTTGGACTCTTTCATTATCTACTTTTGCAACTCAACTGCAGTGCAAATGTATGAGGGGCTGTTTTAAATTTGAACTCTTCTTGTGGTTCCAAAACCATTCTGGCTCATTCATGAACAATTAAATATACACATGATCCATTTTTCATTTACCGATTTCATTTCACTTTCATACCCATTCATCATGAGATTTGTGTTTAGATTGTCCGTTGTCTGATGGGGAGGTGGGCCAGAACATGTCCAATGGGGGTGAGAAGCTTGCAGAGAGGATGGCCAAAGACCTTGATATCCGCAAGTCTATTGGTGGGTTTGTGCCTAGTTGACATTGAGGTTTCAACCAATCAGGATGAAGACCGAAGTCACCTAGGCAGCAGTATAGAAGTTCATGGTCAATGCATTTGTAGTGTATATTAAATTTTCTGTGTTTTTGTGTGTGTGTGTATTATTTTTTTAATATTACCCTGTAGACGGAGAGAGTGACGAAGAGGAGGAAGAGGAACCCATTCCAGATCCAAAGAAACATAACAACACTGATGAGGTAACTTGTTTACTGTCCTGTTCACTTTTCTGCTCCCTGTCTCTTTCTATGCACATTTTTGACATGTCTCTCTGTTTCAGGGTACTGCGTACAGTGAGGTGAACGCTACTGAGGAGATGTCCACATTGGTCAACTACATAGAACCAGTCAAATTCAAATCCTTTGAGGCGGCCTGCAGTGAGTACTGATACTTTTCACATCACGGCTGTTACTATACTGTGTATTCTAGCATGGCTGAAACAGCAAAATTCTGTTGACCAATCAGAAGCCAGGACAGAATCATCCATTTTTGAACTCTCTGTTTTTAGAGAGGAATAAGTATTTTGAGATGTCTTCTTTTGTGGAGACCAAAGGCATGGACACAATGAAGAATTATCCCGGCGAGTTTGTTGAGTATCCTTCACCAGCCCAGGATATTGATCAGATATTGATTGTTAATTACTTTAACATCTTTTCTAAACTTGTCCACTTACTCTTTTTATTTGTGTTTGTTGTCCTGATCTGAATTCTCCTTCAAAGCGTTATGTGTTGTGGGCAATATAAGCCATTATATAGTGTGTACACATTTCCACCAGAAATAGCAGACCATCCAAATACCATTGGCATAATCATTTCAACATAGTGTGGTTAAGGACACACTAATTCTAATGCTAATTTGTATTTGAATCAAGACTAGTGGGTAGTGGTTTCAGTTACATATGTTTGATGTGTCATGTTTGCGCTGTCATATTCAAGTAATGTTGTTCTTCCTGAGCAAAAATGTTTTTATTCAGATACAATAAAAAGCAGTTAAGTCGCATCTACCCCAAAGGGACACGTGTGGATTCCAGTAACTATATGCCACAGCTCTTCTGGAACGTGGGCTGCCAGATGGTGGCGCTAAACTTCCAAACTCTCGGTCAGACATGCAGATAGCACTCTGTTATTGCCTTCTTTTGGATCTGTTGTTCTACATTTACGTATATTTTTGATGCCTTTGTATATTAAAATAAGCTTGAGCTCTGTTTCTCAGACTTGCCGATGCAGCTGAACATGGGGGTGTTTGAATATAACGGCCACTGTGGGTATCTACTGAAGCCGGAGTTCATGAGACGCACAGACAAACACTTTGACCCCTTTACTATGGACATTGTAGATGGCATTGTAGCCAACACAGTTAGAGTCAAGGTATTGTGTTCACATGGATCATTTTGTTTGATACAAAATTAGTTTGATGTCAAGTTATCATAATAGTATAGACCAATTTCGAGCCGACGTCACAGTTACGTCACGGCGCTAGCTGGAGGCAAAACAAAGTGAAAACTGGAGGCGGCCAATACAAACCAGCACAGATTCGGCTACATAATAAGGAGCTTAAATTATTGTTATTATTATTAAATGTCATCTTGTTGTGTTTTTGGGTGCAAGAATCGATGAAAAATGAATATGCTTGTATCTGGAATTTTTATTTCTAGAAAATATTCACATCATTAAAATTGCACCGTAATGTCACTCTTTACATTGTCGTCTTCTCGGCGCTGGCTAGGCAGAACTGTGGATCGTACCACACAAGTCTTGTACATGACCATTCAGCACATAGTTGTAGGCATCTAAAGATTTATATGCCCTCAGTTTCTTTTTCCGCTCTGTTTCTCCATCAGGTAACGTTAACGTTAGGTGTAGAAGTCAGGCCACTCAACTGGAGGTAGCGTTAACGTTAATCCTGTCAGATCGTCCATCCATTGACAGCGTGTACAGTACGGGTCAGCCAATCTGGTTACGTCGGTTAAAATTAACTTTTGCAAATAACAATCTCGTCACTCACCTGGACAGTGAGTGACCTTGCACATTAAGATAAAATCGGATTTTCTCCAGTCATTGTAAAAAAACAAGCTAACAAAACTTGCAAACTAACGTTAGGGAAACGGCCAGAGGGATCGTTCTGCCTCCACCTAAGCTCCGCCCACAAAAAACGTCACCATGTTTACCAACTGAAAATTGGTCTATAGTAATAGTTTTATGTAGCATGTACAATCAGATCACATCTCATCTTTCACTCACACACACAGATCGTCTCAGGCCAGTTTCTGAGTGATAAGAAGGCCAGTGTTTACGTGGAGATAGACATGTTTGGACTTCCTGCAGACACTAAAAGAAAATTTCGAACGAAAACTTCTAACAACAACTCTCTGGACCCAATCTGGGATGATGAAAGCTATGTGTTCAACAAGGTAAAAAATGAAAGGAGTAGTTCATCCAATAATGAAAATTATGCCATGCACAAAACTCTGAAGCTGACTAATGCTGTACTTTTTATCAAATGAAATGAAGTATGCTTTTAATCTCTCTCTAGGTGGTATTACCCACCCTGGCATCTCTTCGATTAGCAGTGTATGAGGAAAATGGGAAGTTTCTTGGTCATCGTATCTTGCCAGTATCGGCTTTGCGCCCAGGTTTGTGCAAAATACATGGCAGTGGTTTAACAGACTTGCTGATCTGATAACTGCACTGAAGATCTGTTGGTTCGTATATGCTATATGTGTTTGTGTGTGTGTCTTTAGGATATCACTACATCAGTCTGAAGAATGAACTGAACCAACCACTCATGCTGGCATCCCTGCTTGTGTACACTGAAGTTAGGGACTACATCCCCAACGAGCACCAAGGTAGGAGAGAGATCTATTGGACTATGAATGTCATGGATGTCAGAAAGACACATGTTGCTACACAGAATTAATATTTGCAACTAGTGGTGTGTGTGTGTTTGTTTGTTTTTGGCAGATAAACATTATATACTGTATATAATATAAAAAAATTATATATATATATAATATATATATATATAGTGTTTTATTAATTCTTGTTAAACTGCTTTAAAACAGCATTAAACAGTTCCAGTGATCAAAAAGAGTGACATCACTGCATTAAGTGGTGCAAAGCTAGTTGTTCAGTTCAGTTCTGTGCATAAAAGTGACTAGTGTATTTAGCTGTAGTGTGTACAAAAATCTTTTTTATGCAAGTAGTCATTTACAGTAGCAGAAACAACTGTAGTTAAGTGTCTTACACAATGGTAATTTGAAGACTGGGATTTACACCAATAGTCTTTTGGTTACAAGCTCTGATATGCATCTAGCTTTGTAACAGAGACTTACTCTAATGTTTTTTCTCTGTCTTCCTTATTTTGTGTGTGTGAAGAATACGCAGAGGCTCTGACAAACCCCATCAAACATCTCTCTCTGCTGGCCCAGAGAGAAAAGCAGCTATTAGCACTTATGGAGGATCTCCCTTTGGTAAGTCATACTTGTTTTTGTGTTTAAGGCAGCATCAACTTCTTAGTTAGGTGCCATTTAGCAAATCGCATGTAAGTGGCGCTATATAAATTACTAGTAGAAGTACTAGTAGTTCCTGCAGTCAAATTGGAATCTCTGTAACCAGCCAGTTCTTTCTTCTGATCTCTCTTCTGGACTTGCAGGCCACCCAGAAATTGAAAAAGTGCTCACCTTTGTGTCGTTCCAAACTTTTATGATTTTCTTTATTCTATAGAACAGGGTTCTGCAAACTATGGCACGCTTGCCAACATTGGCACGCGGAGGGATAATCATTGGCACGTGATAATAGCTAAAGAGGTGTATTTATTTCATTTAAATAAAGTCCCTTGAACTTGCATACAGACGTACATTTTGAGGTAGTCTTTCCTCATAGTCACTGAGCCTGTTTTATTAAGTTAGATACTATAAAAACAATTTTAACCTTCGTTAGCAGCACGCAGATCCAACAAACCGTACTCCCGTGTACCATAAGGTTGCCAACCGCTGCTATAGAACATACTTTTTTTTATATCCTGGCCACTCTTTTTATTATAATGAAAGTGAGTGAGGTCGAGGACAGAGACTGTCAAACTCCAAAATGACCGCAAAACAAATTCACCATAAAAGTATGATATGGCTAGTGTCTGTACTACAAGTTGTGTGAAGAACAGACTGAAATTTAAGCCATTGTTCAGTGAAAACCTGAAATCCAAGTACTAGCCTACTCCTTGAGAAAAGTAGCTATGTCTTATTCATGAGCAAATCATTCTTTCGACTCATATTTTCAATTAATCAGTTGATCGAGTTGCTTTTATGGTGCTTTTTCAGTTTTTTCGAAGCTTGAAAGCCCCAGTTCCCATTTATTTAACTACTGTACATGAAAAAGAGTGATATATTCAGACTTTCTCCTTTTTTCTGAAGGTGAGGATAAATGATGGATTTTCATTTTTGGTTGAACTAATTTTGGTTGAACCATGAACTAACATTTTGCAGATATTTAATCAATTGTGAATGGATATTGTGTGTGTGTGGTCCTGGTAATCCCTACGTTATAGGGACCAAATCTCCGCAATAGAATATTAATACCAGTTATTTTTTACCTTGTGGAGACATTTTTTGGGTAACTATGAGGAAAACAGCCTATAAATTACACTGTTTTTTTTTAATGCAGAAAGTTTTCTGTGATTGGTAGGTTCACGGTTAGGGGTTAGAATATACAGTTTGCACAGTATAATAATCATTATCACTCTGGAAAGTCCTCATAAAACATGAAAACCCAACATGTGTGCGTGCAGGAAGTCAGAAGAGGGATGCTGCGATACCAGGATAAGACTGAGAAACCAGAAGAAGGAGACTGCTCTGACTCTGGCTGCGTACCCTCTGCTGACCCTTTCTGCCCTCTGCCATCTCCAACACTTCCTCCTGTAGTCAGTGATGTCATGAACCCTCCTCCATCAGGTTCGTTCTAACCTCTGAAACAATCTCTATTTGTCCTGCCATCACCCTCTCGCTCTCTCTCTACCTGTCTGCATTTTAGCCATAATGTTAGTCATGTCAGTTTTGTATTGATGTCTACTCATGAATATGCATGTACTGTCCATTAAGTGACATGTATGTCCGTGTATAATATGTTATAGGCCCAAAAGAAGATCTAGTCAACAATATTCTTAAAGGTAAGATCATACTCACCATCATTTGCTCTTCTTCATCAGTCACTCGCCTCCTGCAGAGCACTGAGAGAGGTTTCGAAATATCATGGTCAAGCTGTGTGTTTGTGTTTTGCAGTTATCGAACCTCAGTCTATTGATGAGCTCAAACAGCACAACTCCTACCAGAAGCTGATGAAGAAACAGTCCAAGGAACTCAAGGAGTTGAGCAAGAAACATGTGAAAAAGGTCAAAAGCACTTAAATTACGTTTTATGCAAGGAATGTACCATCATGGTCACGTTCAACCATCATTTTTAACTAGATAAAAGTTCATCAAGGTTAATTTTGTTGTTGGGTTGAGAAAGCCTGGTGTTTAGCAAGTTGCTAGCATGTTTCAACAATGTGCTAAAACGTGTTAGCAAAACATGTAGGCCTACACTTGTTTATTTCGAGACATTTTTCCTTTGTAAAACTGTTGCTTGTAAACCTGGTTTCTTTTGCCGTTTTTAAGCGTCTTGCATTGAAACTCCCCAAGCCTCTGTTACTAATTTGAAAGTCTTACTTTAGAAGTCGGGCTGTTTCTAAGCAGTTACAGTGTAGCAATGTTATAGAGAGAGAGAGCATGACTTAAGTCTGCCGCAGCTCTCAGTAGATAGCAAAGTTAACTTCATTTTTCAGTAGTGAGGCAAGAGCATCATTATTTAGTTTTTAGATGCTTTTATTGATGTTTTAAGTAATGAGCTATCTGGACAGTCACATGATAAAAAAACACTTTGGAGAAAATCTAATTTGTCATTTCTAGTAGTTTTTATGGCTTTTTGAAGTTCTGATCAATTGATGGAATGATATGCAACGGAAATGCAGTCAAGGATTATTCTGTTATAGAAAATGTACAATCTATAAGCCAATCTGAATCAAGCTTTCAGAAGTGCTGTGGCATAAGAATGGTGAACTTATATCAGAGCTGTAGCGCTCAAAATAAAGGCAGAAAGGCCAAAGAGTATAACTTTCTAAAAAAGAATGTGTATATGTGTGTTTCAGTTGTGGGCTCTCAGTAAGGAACAAAGGACTCGATGTACTCAGCTGAACTCTGAGCTCCAGAGGAAACGAAGTCAGGTGGAGAAGCGTGTGCGCACCAGTCTGAAGAAAAAGTGAGGGCATTGACGTTTTAACCTTAATTAATGTTAGCCAGGTAGATATTGTGCTTGTGTGACAACTGTTTGCTCTTTATTTCATATAATGAAAGAGAAAGTGACATGACGTGTAGCCAAGTATCGTGTCCCATACTCGGACTTTGCGCTCTGCATTTCACGCATCCGAGTGCACACACACAGCAGTGAGTATTGAACACACTCGTACTGTGAACACACTCACCAGGAGACATTTTTGCTGCGGCGCCTGGGGAGCGATTGGGGACCGCTTATTCAGCGCTGTTCATTCAGGTTGTGGGTTCAAGTCTCAGTACTGGCAGGAAATGTAGGTGGGGGAGCGATTGGGGAATGAACAGCGCTCTCTTCATTCACTCCCCTAGCTACATTTCCTGATGGTACTGAGACTCGAACCCACAACTTGAATGAACAGCGCTCTCTTCCACACTTAGGCTTAGGCCCTCTAATGGGTATTTTACATGTTTAAAGCAGGAAACAAACAACACCAGTAGATAAACGCAGACTGCCTCATTTTGTTACAAAAAAACAACACTCTGACCTTTCATAGAACATCTGAACTTTTTTTGCAGTTGTCCCATACTCAATGTCACAAATTTGCTTATTTGATTAGTGACCCAGAAATAGTGCAGAATCTGAAATATTTCTTCACTTTACTGTAGAACATTTCTTTGTTATAAATTGGATCAAAATCCTACTGTGATTTTGAACTTGAAACCGACCCTTGGTTTAAACAACATTGGAGAGTGTTCACTTTATGATGAGTGTTCATACAGTAATATCTTTATGAATTATTATTATTATTATTTTTTATTATAAATGTTTTTTTGTTGTTTGCATGTGCGCAGTGGGTCAGAGGAGCCCGCACAGAGGGAATTGAAAGAGCTGGATCTGGAGCTAGAGAGACAGAAAGAGCAGTTCAGAGAGGAGCAGCTGCAGGAGCTTCTTGCGCTCAGACAGGCACAACATCAGACAGAGAAAGAGGCTAAACAATGCCACCTCAAAGAGGTATGACAAGCATAACAATAGCGCAAAGACATCGCTATCACAGCTGCTCTGAAAGGCACTAAACACACACACTCGCTGCTAAAAATGCTGATTCTTTGTGACTCTGTGCTTCTGTCTCAGGCCAATCAGAAACTGAGGGAAATCGCCCTAGAATGCCAAGCAGCCCAGATCAAAAAACTCAAGGAAGTGTGTGACAAGTAAGAAATGTTTGGTTGTGTTTTGAGGTGCATTTGTGTGTGCACAAATGCTGAAATGTCACATTTCTACTTGCAGAGAGAAGAAAGAGATACAGAAGATTTTGGAAAGGAAGAGGCTAAACAGCATCATTGAGGCCAAGAAATCTGAAAAGGAAATGTTAGTAATGGGTTTTCTCATCTCAAGGACAGTGCGTGTAGCAGTCTGGGGTTAAATGGTTAACTCACCCAAAAATAAGAGTAAAAAAAAGTAACCACCTTCTTTCATTCTCTCACTTAGCAGGGAGCTGACCGAGATCAATAGAAAACATATCAATGAATCGGTCAGCTTAATCCGTCAGGTGAGTTCTGGAAGTGTCTGGATGTAGTGTTATTTGGATTTCTGTGTAAATTACACCTTGTCCTAATTTGGTGCCACTCAAGTTTCCATTGTCTTTTTTTTTTTTTTTTTGCCTGTACTGAGAGCATAAAGGCCCATACGCACCAAACTGGCATTAAAGAACTAGTGGCAACAAAAGCCTGCCTTGGTGTCACCTCACATCGCCTGCGTCTGAGCCAAAAAGTTGTGTTTGAACACACTGCATAGACTACAGCCAGCAGCCTGCTACCACATACATTCTGTGCCTGCATGATTGGAAACAGTAGTCTGCTGCATGCGTCTTTCAAAAGGGTAACCAGAAGAGCCACGACTGTGGCTATGACTGTGGTATAAACCTTACACTCAGTAGCGGTTGCTTGCTTTCGTCGTTTTAGTTTTCTTTCTTGTGCACTGGTTCACTAAGCTGCACAGCCATTCAGAGTGATCTGTCTCACGGCTTGACTCCATCGCATAGTCAACATGCTCAATTGGCCTGAAAAGCTGCCCACGGGGGTCAAGACTAGTGCCAATGCTGTGCAACAGAGAGCAAAAACTAGGTAGACACTCAACGATGGCCGAGATTTGCCGATCGTAGAAAAATCTTAGCCAATCAGAAGATATTAGATGTTTCCGTTTGTTTCATCGCTGGGTAGATCCACCCATAGTAAACCTGACTGGTTTATTAGACAGCTTTCTTGAGTAGGACAAGCACTCGACAGAATGTCTCATCACTTTTGGACAGAAACTCAGATTATGGCTTGATGCTGTTATTGCTCCTCACCTTGTTAGGACAAAGTGTTACAGAGCCATATAAAACATACTCGAGTACAAACAATCAAGGTCAATCTTCCTCATAAAGTCCCTTAATTCCTTCTCTCTCTTTGTGTAGCTGGAAGTGTCTCAGGGGAAGCGTCAAGAGAAGTTGAAAGCCCTTCACAAGGACATCCTTCAGAAAATTGAGGAGGAGGTTCCACTGGTCAGTCCCATTCACATATCTATTCAGCCTTCAGTCCTAACATGCTAGTCCCTGTTCATCTTGATCGATTCGTCCTCTTTAACACAAAATTTAAAAATGTCCCATACTAACTAAATTCCTTAGTTACATAAGTTATAATGCCAACCAATGCCAATCATCAAGAAAAAAGCAATGGTTAATTCAGGTTCTGAAAGCTTCTTGCACTATTTGAAGTAGGGGTGGGGGGTATCCCAGACACGATTAACCAGTGTGAATTTGGTATACATTATATACAACCGGTATACATTTCTTTGCCTTGATTTTAAATTGTTCAAGCACAATAAGGTGAGAAAGAGAACTCAATTCAGTATTTGCATTCAGTTTGACAGACTGTTTTCTCAGCGCGCACACATCCGAAGCGTATGCGCAGAGAGCCGCCTGTAATACAGTTTGTAAGTTCTTTTTTCATGTCTGATTGCACTTGGTTAGTTCACCCAAAAATTAAAATTATCCTGTAATTTACTCGCCCTCAAGCCATCCTAGTTTTATATGACTTTCTTCTTTCAGTCAAACAAAATCAGGAGTTATATTAAAAAATATCCTGGCTCTTCCAAACTTTATAATGGTTGGTCTTTGAAGCCCAAATAAACGTGTCCATCCATAATAAAAATAATCAATATGGTTCCAGGGGGTTAATAAAGGAAAATATTCATATTTATAACATAATCTATAATCACTGGCTTCCGGTGACGGCCATAAGCGAGTCTAGTTCCAGCTGTAGAGTGACCTCTGACCCGACACATTATGTAGGATGTAATAGTTGTTCATGGTAATTAAAAATTCTCATTTTAGACTTCTAATTCCTGACCGGTGTTTTGATTTGCTCTATCCTGCGTTTCCACGTTCGTCAATACGTTATGCATTGGTTCAGAGGTCACTCTTCCACTGGAACTAGACTCGCTTACAGCCGTTACCGGAAGCCAGTGATTATAGTTAATAAAGTTATAAATATGGGTATTTTTCTAACAAAAATGCATCGCTTCGCTTCAGAAGGCCTTTATTAACCCCCTGGGGCCGTATGGATTACTTTTATGATGAATGGATTCGGTTTTTGGAGCTTTAAAAACTCTATTCACTCTATTTTTTTTAAATAACTGTTGTCTGAAGGAAGAAAGTCATATACACCTAAGATGGCTTGAGGATGAGTAAATTATGAGATAATTATAGTTTGCCCAAAAATTAAAAACATTTACTCGCCATCATGTCGGTTCAATTCTTTAGTTAATCTTCGAAACACAAATGAAGATGTTTTAAATGAAACCTGAGAGGTTTTATGTCCCTCCATTCAAAGTACTGCCAACCAAAGCGGTCATAAAGGCATCATAATATGAATCCCAAGTCTTGTGAAGAGATACAATCCCTTTATATGTTGAACAGATTTAATTAAGGCTTTTATTTTATTTACATTTTTGGGTGAACTGTCCTTTTGAAACGGTCAAATACTGTACACACAAAGTTATGTGCCCGTCTATCTTTAATCGTCGCTCGATCTTGGCGAGTATTCGGGTAAACAAAGTCGTTTATGTCTTAAAGCTGCAGTCGGCAAGTCTGGCAGATTGAGTGGACTTAGGCAAAGTTTTGAATGTTTACAACTCTCACGCCCCTCCCCCACTATCAACGGATACCCTCCCACCGAGTTCGTGCTCGTCAGTGCGTTTGCACCAGGTTATCTGTGAACGCGCCCGTCTCATCAGCATCCATCAACACCATGGAGTATTTGGAGGTATGCTGCCCTGGCTAATCTACCGATAGATTGCAATTGCTAACGTCATTTATACTCTAAATGAGCTTACTTGATTTGTTAGTGTTTTGAAAGCGAGATATATCCGCCATCACTCTTCGTTACTGCGCGAACTTCAGGCGTGTGCATGTGTATGTAACGTGCGCGAGGGGTGGCGTGTGCCCGATCTGTGATTGACAGTCAGATCTCACACCCCCCTGCGCTGATTGGACCCGATGATCCGGGAGCGGTGGATTTTTGCAAAACAAATAACACACTCCAGGTGGAGTTAGAAGCTCGGGTTTTTTTCTAAAACCACTTTATTTATGTTGTTCTGTTGGATTATAGTGTCGATTTCACTGAATATGATCAAAACCAATTTGCCGACGACAGCTTTAACCAGTTGCGGGGGAAATCGAATATGTATTGGATCCGTACATTCACCTAATATATCTGCTGCTGTCAGTGTCTTTAGTTTGATCAATTAAAAGAGTCACTCACTGATCTTGACCAAGTAAATTTCTCAGCTTTAATAAGAATCAATATATATATATATATATATTTAATTCATTCAGTGTTTTATTTGATTATTATTTTATTTGATTATTCAAATTTCTGCAGAGAACTGTGAAATGTAAGTGTTATCTAAAATGTTGATATTGGGACTGACAACCTTTTTTTTCCCAGTAAAAAAATAACTATATTGTGATATACATTGTTATCATGGAATAAAAATGCTAATTGTGATTGAATCTTGGTCATATCACCCAACCCTAGTTGGTCATATCGCCCAACCTTTTTGTTTTCTTTTGTTGCCTTTTTTAAATGTTTTGTGGAATGGCACTCTTAAATCCTCATGTCTTTGCAGAACCAGGCCCGTCTGACACGCGAGTGCGAGGCAGCGCTGACGCTCTTGCCAGAGGAGGTGTCTCACTTCCTGCAGGAGGTCGAGAGCAAAGGCTCTCGTAAAGACACCCTGATAGGTCAGGCCAATGACAGCCTCAGCTCTGGCCCCTCCTCCAACTGCAGCACGCCCCCTTACACCTCCCCAAACCACAGCTGTGGGAGCAACATGGGCAATGTCTCACTGCTGGAATCCTCCTCAACCTCAAACACTCCCGTCAAGTCAGAGACGGATACTACAGGAGTGTACTAGTGATACTACAATTTGTTTTATTTGTCTTTCCCATCACTCTCTCCAATCCATTTCTATCCGCAGTGGATTTAAAGAATAGACATAGTATTACTAAAACATTTTATGATTTTTTTCTGAGGATTTTTGTTGTTGTTGTTTTTTAAAACTGCATACACTTTGCCACTGTCTGTCGGAATCAAATCTGACATCTTTTTATTTTTTTTAAACCAAAGTTCTGTTTTAATGGATTGTGGATTTTATCCAGCTCTAACGACGTGGGCTCTCGTACATACTAATGCCTGTTCGTAAGACACCTGTGGAAACCAGAGGGACGGGCTTCTCCATTTCTGTTGTATATTTTGCACTTTGCAGCTTTACATGTAGTTCCACTAGTCGTCCTCAAGGTGGCAGTGTAAATTTGACAGTAAAGAATTCTGAGGCTGTGATGCTAGCGCTAGGCTATTGCTTAATCTGGTGGTACATGTTTACATAATAATGCACAGATGGACTATTGCTTTATCCACCCCCGAAAAACACAATTTCATTCATTTCATTACACCACTGCAACCGAAACATCCTGTCATGTGAATGTTTATCGGGTTTTAAATTCACTGTCAGAAAAAAATCTGCAAAAATGATACCAATAAGGGAACAGTACCTTGTCACAACTGGACAACTTTGCTCCTTATCTATCCCTATAAGGTGTATATTAGTACCTTAGAGTTGTAATATGTACTGTTAAAGTATTACAGGGAATCTTTTAGGGTTAAATATGGTGTGTTGTCCATTTAACACAGCAGTTGTAACTAAAAAAAAAAAAATTCTGGGTGTATATGGTGTTTGTTTGTGTCCCATGACACTTAAATGTTTAAGTGCCTCACATCTACTTTGCTTGAACTCTTTCACCCAGATAACTATTTCTAAAATCGTGTAATCCCACTCGCTCTCTCCCCCGTATCCTCCTCTCTGTCGTTTGGCTTAATCTAATCCCGGGCAGTGATCCCACATCTGACACTGTCTGAAATCCAGTGATGTCCAGGAAACTTCATGGGCCACCCCTTGTATTTTTTGTCCAACCGCAGATCACGGCTTGGGTGCGGTTCCATTTCGGATCCCATCTCAGGACTCTGCGTGCAAATCCCCCTTCCGGCTTTATCAACATGTTGCATAATATGCAACAAAAAACAGCATATGATTTTTTTTTTAATGTGAGATTGAAGCAAGACTTTTACAGCTTAGCTCCGCAATCCAGGGCTTTTTTAAATCCATTAGAATGCATGGCGGTTGGATTTTGCTTTCTCGTATTGTAATCTGGTCTGCTGTCACCCTCCTCTTCCTGTTTACTTTTATAAATTGGGTCAGTTTTCTGGTTCTGTGTCCAGTTGCTTTTCTTCCCCTCCTTCCTTTCACTCTCTTTGTGTCTCTCAGGGCTCCGAGGCTCAAAATTAAGACAGTTGGAGTTGACGTACATGCATTCAGTGCTAGCGTGCATCATTCACACTATAATACCAGAGCGTGTAAGTGTGTTTTATGATCTCGATCAAAGCACTTTGAGAAAGACAATGATTGCAGCACTTATGACTATCAAACCATTACATTCGCTGAGTGAGTAACATAATATGCCACATGCACGTTACGTTTCTTCTGCATGCATTGATGGAAATATTTCCTAGAGTAATTTACAAAATGTGTGTTTGTGTGTGTGAGGTAAGTGCTGGCTGCGAGAATGGACACTGCACAGTAGAGTTTAGAAGGCCAGAAAGCAAAAGGGCTGAAGTGAGATGGACAACACCATCTTTCACTATGAGAAGCGAGGGTTTGTTCGTTGAGGGTTTTATATGACTCGGCCCATTTAATGTGTTCTCGTGATAAGTCAATAGCTTTACATACCCGTATAAGCAGGGATAAATGGTACTTGCATGTAAACATTTCCTCTCTCCATGTCTCATTATCTTTGGAGAGGGACATTAGTAATGTACATACTACCAGGAAATATTAATGCGTGTATTTCAGTCGAAACCACACGAGTTTATATCGATCTACATATAATTCATTCCATTTTAGAGGTAAATGAATTTTTACTACTGACTAGAGGAGAAGTCGTGAGTGACGTCTGTCTTTTTGCTTGTCTAAGGCTGATCTAGTGTCCCAACAACACGCACACATTCTACAGTCGTCCCAAGCACCATTCAGCTGTCTTTTACTATCTGTCTGTCATTTTATTTTATTTTTTTGGTTTCAAATGAGGTACAAGCGTTTAATGAGAAGCACCTAAATACTTTATGGCCTGTAATTTTACTATTTTTTAAATTGTAGACACTTTGTGATTGTCATTTTCCTCAAAGTGGCATGATTCTGTATCGTGCCTGTGTTATATCGTGTTATGGTTTTCTTATGTTTAGTAATGTTTGAATGGCACTATCATTTAAAAACCACAAAATTCCATTTTTTTTTTAATTATGGGATTTAGAACCCCACTTTTTAGTGTCTTAAAAGGGGACAAAATTCAGGTTGTTCTTCTGTTTGTTATTATTATTTTAATTTTAGCACCTTTTATTTTGAAAATGCTTTGCAAATCGTGTCCTGTAAATTGAGTTCTTTGTTGGTATACAGTTTGTGTTTTCAAAGCAGACAATAGCATGCTAATTTCAGTCTATAATCAGATGTCCTCAGGGGATGAGCCAGGCTGGTCCATCACACTTGTGGGCCCAAACTGAGGGATACTTTGTGTACTGAAATCTGTGAGGACTGTCGTCAGACTTTAAGGGACAAAACCTGCTTAACCAAGGGCTAACTTCTGCTCGGCCTCAGTTACAGCTATAACCAAGTATATATCTCATAGTTAGTCTCTCTCTCTCTCTGCATCTGTCTCTTTCTCAGCTTCTACTGAAATGCTCTTTTGTTAACACTGTATGTAGATAATGTACTGGTCTGCCTTGTTTAAAGGGAAAACTATTACTCTGGATGTAATTTTTATTGCCTCGATAAATAATATAACTGTACATTCAATAAATACAGAACATTGTCAAACATGTCTTGCTTGTTGCTTCCCTTTTTCAGTTCTACTTTTTTAAAATGAGTTTTCAGATTGTGAAATGGTTTTGATCTTGTGTGAAGGACAGATTACGTGACATGATGGTGTGCGAGACATCCTCAGTTATGCAAAATTAGTTCTTTTTATTGCTAAAGATGAGTGGAGAACAAAGCAATATAAAATTTAGTTTAGTAATATTTATGAACTATAATAGTATTTATTATATTTTGCTTATTAGCTTATCTATTTTTATGTGCTTTTAAAACATTTGACTGTTTAGCTTTTATTTTTACATGTTTAGTTATTTTAGTAATTTAATTTATTTATATATCAACTTATTTTATTTGAGTTAGTAAGGCAATATTTCTGTTTTGCTTTTGGGTTTGCATTTTTCATGTAGTGTAAATAAACTAGTTTAAGTTAACGATAGCTCTGCAAATTTAGACTTAATGTGATTTTTTTTTTTTTATGTAAAAATGTAGAATGTTTTATGTGATGGGTAGGGTTAGTGTAAGGGGATCGAATATACAGTGCTGGTCAGAATTATTTGCCCCCTTTTATTAAATACTTTTTGCAACCTCCTTTTTCCAAGACAACAGCTCTGAGTCTTCTCCTATAATGCCTGATGACTTTGGAGAACACCTGACAAGAGATCAGAGACCATTCCTCCATACAGAAGCTCTCCAGATCCTGCAGATTCCCAGATCCATGTTGGCTCTGCTTCTCTTCAGTTCAGCCCACTCATTTTCTATAGGGTTCAGGTCAGGGACTGGGATGGCCATTGCAGAAGCTTGGTTTTTTGCTCAGTGACCCATTTTTGTTTTGATTTTGATGTTTGTTTTTGGATCACTGTCCTGTTGGAAGATCCAAATATGGCCCATTATAAGATTTCTAGCACAGGCTGTCAGGTTTTGATTTTCTATCTGTTGGTATTTGATCGAATCCATGATGCCATGTATCTGAACAAGATGTCCAGGACCTCTGACAGAAAATTAGGCCCACAGCATTAAAGATACAGCAGAGTTTTTCATTTTACACATGGGGTACTTTTTTATCCCTGTGTGCATTTGTGAAACACGATTTTTAGAATAAACTTTGTCCCATTTTTGTCTAGTTTATAAAGTTTTACCACAGAGTTTGAGATGGAAGAGGGGATTTGTCGCCTTTTTAGAGCAGCTGTTTAAAAAACATACAATAACTGTGAGGCTTATGAAAGCGCCTCAGAGCTGAATGCAATTTCTAAGACCCTTCAACAGCTAAGTACAAAAGCTTCTCCTGTCTTCTTCGTTAATTTTGAAGATTGCGACAGTAAAAAAAAAAGAAGCCTGTTTCCCTTTACAGCTGGGATTGCTTTGCAAGGCTTGTTTTTGTGATGGAACAGTGATGTTGCAAAAATGCTGGTTGGAACTGAAGTTACTGAAAAACACAATCCTTCGCAATCTCATTAAATATTAGGATATCAATTTACTTGGATAATTTAGATACTTGTTAGTTGATGCTATGAAGGTTATTTGGATAAAAAATAATAAAAACATAAAAAATCAGACGCAAAAAGTGTGTCAATCTTCTACACAGTGGGAGACCACCAGTGCAAATTCTTTTATTTAGCTTTTTTTCTTATTAAATACAACAATATTCATTACAAATTATATTATCAGCTCAACAATATGAGACAATATGAAAAATTAACATGAATTGCATATTGTCATATTTTAAGATATGTCGCGACTCGCAAGTTTTTTTCAGTTAAGACAGTTCAAGCTCAAAAACCACTTGTACATTGTGATATATTTCATGCAGTTGTGTACTTACATTATTCCAAAAGTTCCCAAGAATTTGTAAATCCAGAGAAATTCCAGTTCTCTTACGAGAGGTTCTCTCGTATTGCGTAAGCTAGATTACGCTGCGGGAAAGATTCATCTTTGCTGAGATATTGAAGCCAAAAAATTATTTCATAATTTGTATCCATTGACAACGCAGTTCCTCTGCGGCAGACCTAGAGCAGGCTAGCTAGCAGCTCATTGGTTCGCTCAGAGAGAACTGCTTAAGCCTATGGGAGAGCGGGGCTGAACCCGCTTCCAATGAGAGGCGCCCGCGCGCTCATTGCGTCATGGCCCGCCAGAATGGGCGTGGCTATGGTGTATATAACAGTCTCTCCCAGGCTTATATGTTGATTCATTTCATCTTCAGCAAGCTGCACGCTTCTGCTGTCCTGAGAAAAGCCGTCGCCGTCGAAAAGGCATCACTCTAGCGAGCTCCCGGACCCTGAAGAAGCCGGCCGTCTTCGCCACCTTCAGCCGCCCTGCAAGCTAGCGCCATCCGACGACTGTATCCTTCTCTTTTCTCTATTTATATCTAAAAGAGCCGAGCGTCTTTTTAAAGATGTCTCGTTTTTCCTGCGGCTCTTGCCGCGCTCGTCTCGAGGACGGAGACCGCCATGTCATCTGCGCTCTCTGCCTGGGACTCGAGCACGCAGAACTCGCCCTCGCGGATGGAGGGTGCGACTTCTGTGAGAGCCTGCCGTTGTCGTCCCTGCGGGCACGACTTCTGGCAGCAAAATCCGCTCCCGCGCCGCCTCCCTCTTCGCCGCGTAAGACGAAACGCGGCTCCCAGAGGCCGCCGGAGCCCCCAGCGGAACCATGCGGGCCGCCGCCGCCGCCTCCCGCTTCCCGCTCTCCCTCCCCGCCCCTGCCGGACATACAGTTGCCGCCGAGTGGCCGCTCTGTCGCATCCGATGACGCCGCGGAGGAGAAGGACTCCTGTTCACTGCTCGCATCAGACAGTGAAGAATGGTCATCTCTCGGTTCCACGAGAGAGTCGGCGGGGATCCGCGCCGGGATAGAGGAGGAA